GAAGAGAAGGCTGCGGGGTGACCTCATTGCAGCCTATCAATACCTGAAGGGAACCTACACCCAGGAGGGGAGTAAACTCTTCAAAAGGGCTGACAATAGCAGGACTAGGGGAAATGGACCCCAGTTGAAGGAGGGAAGATTTAGGTTGGATGTTAGGGGGAAGTTCTTTACAAGGAGAGTGGTTAGGCCCTGGAACGGGCTGCCCAGGGAGGTTGTGGATGCCCCGTCCTTGGACGTGTTTAAGGCCAGGTTGGACGGGGTCCTGGGCAACCTGATCTGAATGTGTATGTTTGGTGGCCCTGCCAGGCAGGGGGGTTGGAACTACATGATCCTTGAGGTCCCTTCCAACCCGGGTGATTCTGTGTGATTCTGTGTAATAAGGCACAGTCAGGGGTTGTACAAAGAAAATCAAATTTCAGTGCAGAATCATTGTGATGAATGTATTGTTCAAGTTCACTTTGTTAGCTGAGGTAAAATACTGTGATTGAATCCACAGCCATACATGGCTGTATTTCAACTGTGTGTGTTACAGGGCGATTCACAAAGAATCATCCTGTTCCCCAGAAGGTGTAGACATCTTTAGCATCCAGAGTTACTACCTGTTGGCTCTTGAGATGTAAAAGTGTCTCCTACGTGTACATGCACAGCTGTGTAGAATTTGCACAGTCTGACTGTTCGATGTCATTAAACAGAGCATCATCATGCATCTTGTTAACAATCTAACCTTGAGGCATACATTGATCATCTTTCTTCAGGAAAAATTCTTTTTGGCTCCCTGAGTGATGCATATAATTAAATGTATTGCAGAAGACAGATTGAGAGAAAAAGAGAGGAGTAACAGTGAAAGCAAATTTAAATGTACCAAGGTACATTAAATGTACCAAAGTACAAGGATGGCAGCCCCAGAAAGTAACACACCTTTGTAGCTATGTGTGGTGAGTTTGGAAGTAGGATCAGCTTCAGGAACTCCTTTGCAGGTGGTTTTTCTGAATTTTGGTTGGAGTTTGGGAAAGCTAAGTCACAGAATTGCGTGGGAGACTAGAAGAAAAAAAAGAAAAAGAAATAGAGTAAGGAGAAATTTAATGGCAATGAATAATAAAGCCACCAAATGAAAATACAAAAAGAAGAGCAGCATCAGAAAGGAAAAAAGAAGGGGAAAAATGATGGAATTGGTTTTTTTTAGGGAGACAGAACAGGAATATGTAACACCTTTTTTGGTTTTTTTTTTTTTGTTCTTCTGAAATAGTGTGCGCAATTTTTCATTTTAGGTAAATCTGTTTATGAATCACTAACAAAAAAAAAAAAAAAAGAATTCATAGAATCATAGAATGGTTTGGGTTGGAAGGGATCTTTAAGATCATCCTACATACATATCCTGCTATAGGCAGGGACGCCTCCCTCTAGACCAGGTTGCTCAGAGCCCCATCCAGCCTGGCCTTGAATAGTTCCATAGAGGGGGAATCCACAGCCTCTCTGGGCAACCTGTTCCAGTGTCTCACCATCCTCACAGTGAAGAATTTCTTCCTAATATCTAATCTAAATCTACATCCTTTCAGTTTAAAGACATTTCCCTTTGTCCTGTCACTACATGCTCTTATAAAAAGTTCCTCCCAAGTTTTCCTGTAGGCCCCCTTCAGGTACTGGAAGGCCACTATAAGAGGGGCCTTCCCAGAGCCTTCTCATCCCCTGGCTGAAGAGTCCCAACACTCCCAGATTGTTCCTGCAGGGGAGGTGCTCCAGCTCTCTGATCATCTTCATGGCCCTCCTTTGGACCCATACCAACAACTCCATGTCCTTCTTGTGTTGGAGGCCCCAGAACTGGATGCTGTACTCCAGGTGGGTTCTCATGAGGACATAATACAGGGGCAGCATTGCTCCCTCGACCTGCTCGTCATGCTTCTCTTGATACAGGAACCCAGGATACAGTTGAGTCTCTGAGCTGCAAGTGCACATTGCTAGCTCATGCTGAGTCATTCATGAGCCAACACTCCCAAACCCTTCTCCTCAGAGCTGCTCTTGAGCCATTCTCTGCTCAACTTCTGTATGTGCTTGGGATTGCCACTACCCACATGCTGGGTCTTGCACTTGGCCTTGTTGAACTTCATGAGGTTGGCGTGGGCCCACCTCTAAAGCCTATCTAGGTCCTTCTGGAAATTGATTAAAGAGAATACTATGTGAATGTCTAGGCAGTTTTAAGGTCTCGAGAATAGAAAAATCCAAATAATGGGTGTGCATGATATGATCTGTTTTTCTTAGTATTCAAAAACTATACATTTTGAAAGCAGAATACATGCAAGTATCAGCAATCCACTCAAAATGGTGATTATCTCTGTATTAATATGATGATGTTGAGTCTCTTCTGAGTTGTTTTATTTCTAATACTGTATAAACATGTCATTTTTTAATTAGGTTAGTTTGCTCACTGAGTTCATAAAGTGATTAGAAACTATAATTGCAAGTATAAGTATATCAGGTAGCCTTCTCAGTAAGCTGTGAATTCAAAGGGCAGTGTGCCCTTTCATTTTGCCATTTTTGTGTGCAAGAGTGAAATGCCAAATGAAACTACATGAAGCAGGTTCAGTGTCAGTATTCCTTCCGAGATAATCAAGCCCAACCATCAGCCTGACTTACCAAATCCCATCACTGTAGCATAGTAAGAGGAGGAACTTCTTTACTGTGAGAGTGACAGAGCATTGAAACTGGTTGTGCAGAGAGGTGGTGGAGTCTTTGAAAAGATGCAGAAATCACCTGCACGCTTTCCTTTGCAACTTATTACAATGCTGTCTTAAATCTTCAAATGTTCTGAGGTGCGCTGGGAGACTTGGATCCAGTGGGGTACCAGGTGACTGGAATATTGCAGCTTGCTGGGATCCAGAAGAAATGATTTTGTCGCTTTGGAAGTACTAACTTTCTCATCCTATTGCAACATAATAAATCAGTATGCAGGGTACTGTAGCATTATGCTCATTGCTCTGCTACTTGTTTATTCTGAAACTGTGAGCCATGAAGAGTTTAGAGGAAAAAAAAAAAAAAAAAAAAAAAAGGAATAATGGCTTTACTGAAGGGTACCAAAGAAAGCAATATTTTTTCACAGGGCTCTCGTTTGTAGCAACCTAAAAAAAAAATCTGAAAGAAAACCAAAGAGAATTTGTAATAAGAATAAGCTTAGTCCTGACAGTGTAAATCTCGACCTAAAATGTAACTCCTGCCTAGAGCTGTGAGTATGTGCTACAGTGGATTATTAACACTGATCACTTTGTCCCAGTTTGTGCTGTGTTGATGCATATTTAAAATCTGTGCAAAAGTTGGGATAGGGCATACAATTGACTTTCTGCAGTCTAATGAGTTAGTAATTGTCAGCTGAGGTGTGGTCATGTTATAAAGAGTTCAGTTCAAGTATGATTGAATTTCTGAACTTTCATAGTGTCATAGCTGAAGATCTAATGGGCAAGATAAATACAGAAATAAAATGTATGAACAGCCATTGTGTTTATTTTTTTATGTTCTTGCAAATCTGTGTTCTGCCAAGTTTAACTATTTCATATCTGATGTTTATATGCAGTTTTACTTTCTCTTTAATTTATATTTTACTGGTAGAAAGACAAAACAAGCATATAATAGTATGTTCCAGAGTATTATATGCTAAAATACATGGTTTCTACTGGAATAATAATAATAATAATAATAATAATAAAAAAACTAGTTTCAGACTGAACTTGAAAGTTCTTTTTTTATAGACATTATTCAAATACTCTTTTTTGAGATTGTTTGGTCTGTAAACCTATAAATATGAGTCCCAGAGTGTTTCAGCTTATTTTAGCAGTGAGCTGTTGAAAATGATTTTACATTTCTCTGCTTGGACATTTTGAGGAATTACATGGTAAAAATTACTCACGCTCTACTGATGACTAAGAATAGGAAATGATTGATTTCCTTATTTATTTATACATACTTTCTTGAACAAGCACTGTGTTCAATGCTTAAGCTATAGATTCAGAACTGTGTTTTTTTTTTTATTATTTGTTTTGAAAATGAAGTGAACTGTATGGTAGACTTCTAATAATAAAACATACAATTAGTAAAACTTGGAAAATAGTCTATCTTGGTTGTCTTTCGTAGTTCTGAATTTTGTTCTGTAAATAGAAACTGCATAAGTAATAGACTTCCTTAGGAGTGTAGTTCCCACACAGAAAGGTTTATCAAGTTTCTTGCAGTCAGAGACAAATGTGTTTTGGAAATGCTCTTGAAACATTTTCTTATTTGCTGATTTGTGTTATTTCTTCACAATATTTCATTCATTTCATTTTATGGGAACTGTTGTTCATGGCTTGAACCTCTGATTGACCACCTGAGGCAAGCATTGAGTCAGCCATGGGAGCACAGGTGAAGGCAATTCAGCTGTGCTACCGGAAGGGGTGGAGCCTGGCTGCACTTCTAGACCTATTTAAGTGCTGACTGCCACTGAGGAAGGATCTCTTCTGGAGATTGCTCCTTGTGGAGTTTATTGTGAGTGTACAGCACCAGTGAGCATTTTTCATTTATCATTTTTCCACTGTGATAATCCTACTTAGCCTAACCTCCGTACATTTATTGATTGTATAATTGGCTATTTAAAAAAAAAAAAAGGAAGAAAGCAAAACAACAGAAAAGAGTGTATACCTTCCAGGCTCTAGAAGCAAATTTATTCACAAGTCTTTCTTACAAAATGATCTGCAGAGTGTTATTGCTATGATCTTTATCAGAGAAGAATATAGAGAAAACTAAACAAAAACTAACAACAACAAACAACCTGAAAGATGTGTGTTAAAATAAAAAACAAAAAAAACCCAAACTTTGTAAGATACCTTATAGTCTATTTGGCTTTGGATTTTTCTATTTGGAATTAGGGGAGAGTAAATACGAAAGTATTTACCTCTTTCCATATGGTCAGTATGCGATGAAGTATTTTCTTTCATGCTTGACATTTTTATGAATATGTGTATGTGTTGGTTACATTGCAGGAGCTGCAGGATGGCATTGGGCGACAGCAAACTGTTGTCAGAACACTGAATGTAACTGGTGAAGAAATTATTGAGCAGTCATCAGCAGCAGATGCTAACGTGCTGAAGGAGCAACTGGCAAATCTGAATACCCGGTGGCATGAGATCTGCAGACAGCTGGTAGAGAAAAAAAAGAGGTAGGTTAGAAGAAAGCAAAAACATTGTAAAACAATTTTGGCTATATTAGATTTGTTTTCAACTCTCTCTTAGCATTTGGAATTTCTATATTCATAGGAGACGATCAGTAACTTAATTTCATATATGTGATCGTTTAATTCTTTTCTGTATGTTCTTGTTAATGGCTACCACTCCCATCCATATTCCACATTTTTGTATTTTTACTCCTAATGCTTAAAAACAATAAAGTGGTATTTCTTGGTTAAAAGTAGAATAGATCAGAGCTCCATTTCCACAATTTACAGTTGATTTAGCATCCCTCTATTTGATAGTATATCATTAAAATGTGTATCTGTAATACTGATAATACCTTAGCTAATTGATACTGTTAATCCTACTTTAATTCACTTCTCATCATTGGTGCCATTAACATCTGCATTTCATTCAGGTTGGATTAAAAGAATAGATTACTTAATGTTATTTATAATCACTTCCAGATTAATTTGATTTCCTCTTGCAGTCAGAGGAGCATTTGAGTTACAGATAATGAAAATATGGTTTGATTTGTTTAAAAAGAATGTTTCTAAATGACAAAAAAATGTTGCTGCTCGTGTTGGATTTTGTAATGCTTTCTTTACGTAGATGCTAAGCCTAAATAGACTTGACAGTCTTCTTTACAGAATGGCCTGGGTTGGAAAGGACCTCAAGGATCATGAATCCCCAACCTCCCTGCCACATACAGGGCCACCAAACTCCCCATTTAATAGTAGACCAGGCTGCCCAGGGCCCCATCCAATCCAGCCTTGAGCACCTCCAGGGACGGGGCATCCACAACCTTTCTGAGCAGCCTGTTCCAGCACCTCACCACTCTCTCTGTGAAGAATTTCCCCCCGGCATCCAACCTAAATCTTCCTTCCATCAAGTTAAAACCATTTCCCCTTGTCCTGCAGTTATCTACCCTTTCAAAGAGTTGATTCCCCTCCTGTTTGTAGGCTCCCTTTCGGTGCTGGAAGGCTGCAATGAAGTCACCCCACAGCCGCCTTTTCTTCAGGCTCAACAAGCCCAGCTCCCTCAGCATGTCTTTGTAGGGGAGGTGCTCCAGCCCCCTGATGCCTTTGTGGCTCTCCTCTGGACCATCTCTAGAAGATCTCTGTCTTTCTTTTACTCCAGACACAGTACTCCAGATGGGGCTCACAAGAGCAGAGTAGAGGGGGACAATCACCTCCCTGTCTGTGCTGACCACCCCTTTAAAATACAGGCATTGGCAAAGATTTCTTCAAGCAAGGTTTTTAAAGCACAGCTTACACCTTATGGAAGTATACCAACGAGTGCTGGAGATTTGCTAGGAGAACTAGCTAGTAGCATGCAACAGTTTAATTTCTTCTTCTGTGTCATGTGTCTTTGTTTGTGTGTGTGGTTGAGAGCAAAAGCTGTGAAAATTTGCACTGGAGTGGTCAGGCAGTGCTGAAAGGTGATTGTTGGCTTTAACTAAGATTCAGCTTTCATTTTGACCTCATTAGAAGAAGGAGATGCAGCAAATAAGCTACAGCTGTCAGAGGCTATCCTGGTGTTTTAAATGTTTCTTTCTGCTGTATCTCCAGGTGTGATGGTAATACTGCTTGTTACACATGGGAGTCCTTGGCTTTTATTTATTGCTCTAAAAACTGTTCTTTTGTACAATTGAAACCCATCTGTGTTTTCAAGCCTTACCTTGTTAAGTAAGTGCTAACACTTACTAAACAATAACATATCATTTTAATAGCCCTGTAAGCTACTACAGTAACATCAAAGCGAAAGATTGGTGGTTGAGCTTTGTCTGAGAATACAAAATCTGTCCCACTTCTGGTAAATGCAGGTATTGTTCTCACCCTCATTTATCAGCAGAAACATGTATCTCAATGCTGCTTTGGCTCAAGGCTGTGCTAAAAGTCTATGGAATCTTTTGGCACATCTCACATTTCAGTGAAGCCTCGGATCTGTTACATGGGAATAATATGGTTATGTTCCCTTGATAGGGGTCTTAAATAATCACCCATTTACACTCATCCTTTCCTCCTTTTGCTGTTTGGTTTGTTGATTGGTTTGTGGTTGTTTAGTTTTCCTCTGGAAAGGGGATTTGCATGATGTATTGAGTATTGTGGTTGCAGAGACTTAGGTTAGTATACATATTGCCAGGTAATGAATATGAATGACGTTGTTCATATATGACATAAGTACTTTTGTTCTACTGTAGTGAGACTTGTGTACATCATGATGGAGGATTTTGCACTTCTGTTCAGTGCCTTGTCTCTTTGGCTGCAACAGAGCCAGGGACACGCTTTCTGCTCCCAGGCTGTAGAAGATTCTATCCTCAGTCTAGCTGCTGCCTCAGACAAGATCCTAGCTTTTTCTTCTTTCCCTCTTCTTTCCCTCTTTTCAGTTCTAAGGAAAGACACTTAGGTGACAGGAACAGATGATATGCCCTAGCTAGATCTTAATTATCCATTATCCTGGGCATGAAGGTACAGCAGATGCATCTACAGCATGGTCCTCACATTGCCTTGCTGTCATGGAATTGTTTGAGTTGGGACCCTTAAAGATCACTTAGTTTAACTCCCCTGCAGTGAACCTGAACATCTACAGCTAGGTTAGGTCACTCAAAGCCCTGTCCAGCCTGACCTCAAATATCTCCAGAGACAGGGCATCCACATCATCTCTGGGCACCCTGTTCCAGTGCCTTACCACCCTTATTGTAAAACAGTTTTTCCTTATATCCAGTCTAAAACTCCTCTCTTTTAGTTTGGAATCGTTTCCCCTTGTCCTATCACATCAGGCCCTGCTAAAGAGTCTGTACCCTTCTTTCTTGTAGCTCCCCTTTAGATACTGAAAGGCTGCTATCAGATTTTCCTGGGGCCTTCTCTTCTCCAGATTGAAATGAATCCCATGAATCCCATTTCATGGGATTTTCATCTCTTTTCTGCTTTGATGTCTTTCAGTTGCTCATTAGTTGTTCTAATTTGGTTTGGGGTACATTCAGGTTCTCTCTGAGGATCTGAATCCAATTTCACCTTTGCTTTGTTCTTAATGAAAAACATAGGGTAAACAAGAAGGGTCAAATGAAGTGACCTCTGGTTGTTTCTATTGTGTGCCATTACTTCTCGCTCAGACTTGCTATCACCACCTGTGTTAGGCTCAGTGTATGTTTATGCGCTGTATGTTTACATAGGTATCCTTCCTTTGACACCAGTGTTGAAGAGATACTGTTCAGCCAGTTTGACTTCCACTCGCAGTTGCTGTAGAATGGTACTCAGTCATATTAAAAGGCATATAATGTGTCCAGGATATCATAACTAGGCTTTGAAAAGAAGCCACACCTTATATCTGAAAATTAATTTTGATATGCTGTGAATTAGAAGAGATTTGAGTGAACTAAAATATTTTCTTGATTTTTTTTTTTCCGGAATTGTTTCTATATTATTCCTATTAAATCTGCATTCATACATCCCAAGATATAAAGGAAGTGTAATTTTAGTGATTTCTAATTCAGTTGAAATGTTGCTAGACATTATTAAATGTCATGAAAATTTTAAATATTTCAAATTCTCATTTGTGATTGTTTACCAAACAATAATTTTGATACAATCCTGAACAATTTACAGATGGGGCATAACTCTGTATTTCAGAAATATTTCTCTAACAAGTTCAAAAATGCTCATTAGTTGTTAGACAGGAGGAAAAAAAAAAAATTAAAGAGGAAAATATATCACCATAGTTATTTTTGTAGGACGCACAAATATGAGAGTTTAGTTGGAGACAAACATGTATGGTGACATTTCCAAGGGAGCCATAGAATCATAGAATGGTTAGGGTTGGAGGAGTTTTTTAAGATCATCAAGTTCCAACCCATGGGCAGTGCTGCCCCACAGCAGTTCAGGCTGCTCAGGGCCTCATCCAGCTTGGCCTCAAATACTTTCAGGGAGGGGCACCACAGCTCCTCTGGACAGCCTGTTGCAGTGCCTGACTACCTTCTGAGTAAAGAATCTCCCCCTCAAATCTAATCCAAATCTGTCCTGTTTTAGTTCAGAACCATTCCCTTTGTTCTATCATAATCTGCCCATGTAAAAAGTTGGTTCCTCTCTTGTTTATAAGCATCCTTTAAGGACAGAATGCCAAGTGAGGTCAGAGGTACTCTTGCCTTCTGATCATCTTCATGATCCTTCTCTGTACCCACTCCAACAGTTCTGCATCTTTCTTGTACTGGGAGTCCCAGGCCTGAGTGCAGTACTCCAGATGGGGTCTTACATAGGTGGAGTAGGTGGACACAGTTACCACCCTCTCCCTGCTGGCCTCCCCTCTTTTGATGCAGCCCAGGATACTGTTGGCTTTCTGGTCTGTGAGAGCACAGTGCTGGCTCATGTCTAGCTCTTCATCCTTCATGGCAAGGCTGCCCTCAATGAGTTGTTCTCCCAGTATGTGTGTGTGTATTTAGGACTGCTCTAATCAAGGCACAGTATTTTGCTCTTGACCTTGTTGAATCTCATTGGGTTCACGTGGGCTCACTTCTCACTTCTCGGGTTTGTTCAGATCCTTTTGGTTGGCATCCTTTCTTTCTATTGTCAACTGCACCACTTAGCTTACTATCAAATGAACTCAGAACAATTTGAAGTGTGTGTATTGTTCTTCAGTAAAAACGAGTGGGTGCATTTTAAATATTTTGAGTTTTCTCATTTCTTAAGTTTTAACAGGTGAATGTTGAATCCCTGGCTAAACACAGATTTAAGACTGACACTGAATCTCCTTGCTTTGGTACTGAAGATCAAGAGGTCGTGTTTGAGTTATGTTTGTGTAGCATGTTAGCATCCAGTTGCATTTACCAAAGAGTTACAAAGCTGTGGAAATTTGAATTCAGTGTTTAATGTTTCTGTATCTTACAATCTAATCCATCCAGCTATGCATTAGAAGAGAATGTTATTTTATCACATCTAGTCATTTTATCTTACTGAAAACTTCAAAATAGACCAAATAGTTGAATAAAGTGAGA